TTGCAGCACTTGGTTGAGAGGTTGGCTGAGACCAATATGGAGGAATTCGGATTTGGAAATATCGTCTTGTGTGAGAGGAATGAAGATGTTATATATACGTCTATCTCTATAGCTCCAAAAAAAGGTGCATTATTTGCGGTGAACAACTGGGTACATCGTCAGTCTACCTAATCACAATAGAGCAGTTAGTCTACCCCTCGTGTATTTCCAAGGGCGCCTGTTCAATGAGGCTTAGGAGACAGGACTGAATGACTGCCCATTACACATAGATGGTCCATGTCACATGGCTCAGGTATGCTAACTAGGTGAATGCAGCCAATACCTTCGATTGAGAAGTATAAAATTGCTATCACTTTCCCTAATGATCACGGTATCCGATATCGCATGGACTTGAGTCTGCGTCCAACTTTTCTCCAGTTATCGTGGCTCGCTTAGATAAGATAAAAGAACCAGCCACGAGTCTGTGCGGGCCATAGATGGGCTTCCATCCACATGGCCTGTCCTTGTACCTGCATGTCTCCTAAATGCTTATTGGACATTTTAGAAAATTTAATACTCAATTCGACTTTCACTCAACTTCTCGGCCACCTATCCTAACGCCATACTCATTCTTCGACTGCCGCAAAGTGACTGCAGCCAGTCTGGATGCCAGCACGAAAAGACTCGTGGCTGGTTGGACAGCTTCAACGTGCCTATGGTCGTTACACGGCCCCGTGAAAATTAATCGCTCGAGAACATCTGCACTGAATATAAGTACGGTACGATTCGTAGTTCGCAAGGCTTCCAGTATGGCAAGTAGCAGCATAATGTATTCAGCAAGGTAACAACCCCTTAAATTTTGTATGAGAGATATCCATAGTTTATTGTACTTCATCTTAACCCCATAGGAAGCTAACGACGGCCATGTGGTGCATGTCGTACCTTTGTAGATCATAGTTTTCTATCGATGAATATTTGAGATACTCGGATTGACTTGAGTTTTACCAATAAAGAGTTTGGAACACTCATCTCAGATTTTGCAAAATCCAAAAGTATCCCAATTCTACCGTCTCACGGAGAGGGTCCGCCGTAAAATAACCCATTAAAGCGGGGAGCGGGGATGTGCTACCCCGGCAGTCCGGGATGCTGGTAATCGGTGTCCTTAAACCGTTACCGAAGGCTGTCGTTTACATCGTATCCTCAAACGTTGAGCTACCAATTTGGACTCTAGAGAGTTGTTGTGAACATAAATATCGAAGGTCTCGGATAGCAACAGAATAACTCGCATCGATTCTGTGGCAAAATCAAGCTACTTGGGTATTACCCCGCTACTTGCTACGCTCTCAAACTATCCAACAACATAACTCGCCTCGGTTGCCTCGGAATGGCAGACACCAAAGCCGAACTTGTCAAGCTCGCCGGCACAGACGTGAAAAACGCGCTGGCGGCCGAGCAGTACGGGCCCGTGCTCTCCTCCCCGCCGTTCGTGTACGTGGACGGGACGTTCAACACGCGGGACCTGGGGCTGGTACCCGACAGCCCGCTGCGGTCCAACTATGCCTTCCGGTCTGGTGTGCTAGCTGGGCTGACGGACAACGGCAAGGCTGTCTTGTTGGGCAAGCTGGGTGTTAAGCGGATCTTTGACCTGCGGTCGCCCGAGGAGCGTGCGAGCATGCCGGACCCCGAACTCGGTATAGAAAATACTTGGATCCAGAGCAGCCGTCCGGACTCCAAGCCTGATCTGAACACATTCGTTGCTGGAGAGGGCGAGGCAGGATATGAGGGGATGTACCTTGAGGTCATTGACGTTTACACCGACAGTTGGAAGGCGATTCTTGAGCATGTGAGAGACCGCCCGCAGGACCCGTTCTTGGTGCATTGCACTGGTATGTCTATACCCCCCTACCCCCCTCTCTTTCGCACCATGCACGTAGGTGCGCTTGGAACTATTTGACCGGCACAAACAATTGAGCTCTTCCTAACAATTTCCAGCCGGTCGAGATAGAACGGGTGTCTTTAGTGGTCTCCTCCTCGCCCTCGCCGGCGCCTCCGAAGATGCCATCGCATTAGACTGGCAGCTATCGCGCATTGGTACCGAACCCGTGCGTGCGATGCTTCTTGAATTCGCGAGGAAAGGCACAGATGCCTCTGGCGATGACCAGCCTGGTTTCTACAACCTAGTGAGCTTGCGGAAGACATGTTGGCAGGCTTTCGTCAAGGGCGTGGAGAGGGAGTACGGAGGGTTTGAGAAGTTCGTTACGGACAAGTTGGGGTTCTCGAAGGAGGACCTGGTTAGAATCAAGAAGAACTTGACGAGCACTTAACCCTATGATATAGAATGGATACTGGAAAAGCCAGGTACGCTGTTCGAATTTAGATAGACACCTCCTGCATAAATCATAGATTAAGAAAGAAAGAAAAAAATATATCTTGCCTAGCATTAACCAGTCATTAGCTATCAAACAGCGCCATACGCTCACCTCATCTTAATACCACTAGCTCAGCACTTCGCGTTCGCGAACCTTATCAGATAATTAGGGCATATCTAGCGTTCTTATTAAAGTGACTTAGAAGATTGTATTAAAAAAATCAAGTTATATATTTTGTATGAAGAAGTCTCGTAATTACCAAGCAGAGAACATATAATCTTAGTTTCAGCAACTGAATCTAGTCTAGCGCAACCATCCGAACATGTAAAGGCTATAGACTTACACCAGGGTATAATATCTCAGCGCTTTTATCTTCATTTCGATTACTAACCGAGTGCTTAACGAAAGTACACAAAGCAAGTAAAGGGGGACATTATTGTGAGAGCCGGGTAGCCAGCATTCCCGTCTCTCAAAGCAAACCTTTGTATCACAGGTGTGGTAGGTAATTCTTAACGAAGTCTATTTCCATGTCATAAGGCTATGCATACTGAGAATACACATCCAGGTTTATGGTCTGCGAACTGTGATTTGTGGAATTTAGGCTTTATTTGCTAGTGTCCTGGCATACCTGGCGAGGCGGATGTCATATTAGTTGAGACCGCAAACCCGTTTTTTACCTGACATCCCAATTGGGCACCACCCAACGTCGTCATAACCTTTCAATATACATCTTTAACAATTAACTGTCAAAGATTATCGCTTTGACCAAATCATTTGGTTTTTTCATTATTATCAACACAAATGGCACCTCCATAAATGACACTGAAATCGTTGTTTTTGGGTGTGAATTGGCTGTAAAAGTAGGTATATGATGTGGAATGGAGGTTTTGCGGTCTCAACTAATATGATAGCCGCCTCGTCTGGCTACCTGCTTAGAGCTCTAAAAGCTGTGGGGGAGTTTGAAGGTGACATCACACCAGCCACAAACCTCTAACCCCACGTTAGCCAACAGTACGTCATAAGGGTCTTGTGGCGTAGGACCCTGAAGTTGAAGCTGAAAATTCAAGATTTCTAGGCCAAGGCTCTGTGAGAAACTCCTCCCAGCCATTTGACGAGCTTGCCCTGCCCGGTCACATTGGTAGCTACGTAGGGCTTGACATCATGGGCTGTTACGCCATGTCGATCCTGCCCACGCAAGATTCAGTTCTGTTCCTGAAAGGGTGTGGTGCTGTATAGCCTCGGTGCCTTTGATAGGCCAGAGGCCTGAACCATCAACGATTCGCTCACATGCTACTTGTGCATCGGGGCCGTCCAAGCAAGCTAATGGCCTGCCAACTTTCTGCTAGAGAATGAGGTATGCATGCACGTAGGGCCCTATAGGTCGTTAATTTTGGGTATAAGACCGGCTCGACTCCTCTATCTTTCGTGTAATAATATTCAGACCTAAGTCAAGCAAGATAATCTCTCTCCAATACCACAAACCAACGCAAATAACCTACCTTTAACCTTTATCACATCAACCAACATGCCTCATCATCACACTACCACAACAACCACAACCCGCCGTCGCGGCCTCTTCAGCCGCGCCCAGCCCGTGCATCACCAGAAGCGCCATGCGACTCTGGGCGATAAGGTTAGCGGTGCCCTGCTGAAGTTGAAAGGCACCCTCATGCACCGACCCGGCCAAAAGGTACGTCTTATCATCTTCTACTCCGAGTCACCGACCGCGCATGGCCTATGCGGCGATGGAGAGGTAATCCATGAATGACTACTAACAACAACATAGGCTGCCGGCACACGCCGCATGCATGGCACCGATGGGCGAGGAAGCCGTCGCAGCCCGAGATTCTCAACTCACAAGAAGTACCGGTACTAGACACCTTGTAGACAAGGGGAAAGATGCAGAGACGGACGAAGACATTGGTTGATGAATTACGACAGAACTTTGTAAACAAGAGATACCCACTGGCTGTTCTCAATGAAGGCACGAGGAGAAACAGGAATACTCCTGCTGTATGATACCTAGAGCGATGTTACAATTACCACAACATGAAATTTCAAGTCAATTCAGAACGAATCAGTTCTGGGAAAGATTAAGATCTATACTATACTTCTAGAATTACTGAAACAACTGCAAACATGTTGGACTTTAAAACCACAATGAGTGTCTCTGCACCCCCCGTCAACTAACAGGTAATAAATGCCTAGCACGAGATAGTGCACGACTGACCTACGATTTTAATAATTTCTTTATATGATTATGTATAATATGATATACCACATACGCATACATCGATTTATATGTATAGATCATTCAAAAGCTCATTTGTGGGCTTTCCATACGTGCCCCTTTATCACTTTTCAGAGAATACCTTGCGTGCGGTTATGCGGGGAGCCGGTCAGCGTAACACAAGTGGCACCTGTTCACACTATACTGCAGTCCACAGCACATACCCATAGCATGCTAAATAGATGTTAACAGCCTCGCTTTAGCGCGGATTAACTATACTAGGAAAAGTTACCACACTGTCAATGCAATTTGGTGCATACAGGGCTCAAACTTACTATCCAACATCATCACCATTGATCCACTTCCTAGTAGTGCAACGTATAGAATGCTATAAGCCGAACCCTGTCCATTCCGAAAGCCCAGCCCGGCTAGTTCAATGGCAGAACGTCTGACTTCTACATTTAACAATGCAGTAAGCCAGTCCATCAGAAGGTTGCGGGTTCGAGTCCCGCGTCGGGTTACTTTTTGTTCATTCTTGTTTCGCTTTATTCGACGGATAGAGAAGACCTCTTATACTTCGATTTCTATATTAGAACGGAAGTGCTTCCTCCTGTTTTAACTTTCCGATTACGGGGAGGGACAGCTACACCGTAGTGGATGACACGAACTTGCATCCAACTGGATGGATGCCGCTTTTCACATCCGACTTACGAATGCAAATCCGACACGCAATCGGAAGCCCGCCGGAGTGTTGCTCTCACAAATGGGAGTGCATATGATAATAGCCCCCTTTTTTCCTGCCGAAATCCTCTGAGATGCAATCTATGGACAACAGCATAGTAGGTATCCGACATCGTATCTTAAGAAGGGAAACTTGAGTAATTGAAATGTTAAGTGGAAAAGCATTTCATCACAGGCAAGCGTAGCAGTACGTAGCCGCTATAAAATTAATTTCCGAAGACAAGAGTTATAATCAACAATTGTTATCAAACCGATGCGTTCAGCTTGTACACTCGTGCAAAATCGCCTTCTCGTCGAAGTCGGTTTGATGTGTTCTATTGCTGAGTGATCCAGGCTAGCAGGTTCGTCACATGCATTCCCCCTTGAGATAAACAGTCTTATAACAGCAACAGACGCGTAGACCAAAACTCCAATTTGCAGCATACAAGAACTCGAGAGGTCATCCATATTAAGCTAGGATACGGTACTAATCAGATAGCCAGCTTTGGAGAAGACGCTAGATCGGCTCGACTTGTAAGATTATCCCACCGCTACGTCCCGAGAAGGGCGCATACTAGGACGCCGGTACATTTTACGAGATAATTTTTGCTCCACCCTAAACCGTCATCGGCTGGTCGAATGCAGTATACGTGCTCTAGCTCTAGCTCTATACCGAGGCGTTTCACCTCCAGATGGCACCTATATTAATGTATGACGACGTATTGAAGCAGTAGCTAGCTATCATGTCTCTACAGATTTTCTTTCTGAGACCTGTCGCAAAAAGCCGGGTCCGCGTGTGAAAGCGGTAGTTTTGGTCGAAATTAGTACTTACAATGGATCGTGAAGACATTGACCTCGCGGCTCTTCCAAGAGGCCCGTCTCCGGACTGTATAACGCCCGGTACGCCGTTCGCTGAAGGCCGTGACGATGGCGAGTTTTTCGCCGCCACGGACGCTCAGCTCTCTAACGAAGAGGGAAGAGAGAGACAGGAGTTCTCGCTGCCGCCTGTGGACGGCGGGAAAGACGCTTGGCTTTTCCTGGCGGCATGCTTCGCGATTGAGGCTCTGGTATGGGGTATGTCTGGATTATCGCTCTATATTCCTATGTTTCATATGACTTCCAGCTCGTGCTCTGGTTTTTATTATCCAAACAGATACTTAGCATTTAATTTCAGGCTTCCCTTTCGCCTTCGGCGTCTTTCAAGACTACTATAATTCCCATGAGCCGTTCGCGGGGCAGCCTAACATTGCGGTTATCGGCACCAGCGCCATGGGCATTATGTATCTAACCGCACCGATTATAATGGGCTGCTGCCGAGCGTTTGGACGATGGACGCGGTGGACTCCGCTTCTCGGTCTCTTTACCATGTCCGTATCGTTGGCTCTGAGCTCATTCGCGACGACAACCACGCACCTGATCCTGGCCCAGGGTATATTTTACGGCCTGGGCGGCGGAATTGCCTATTGCCCCTGCATTGTGGTAAGTTTTGCCATATAGATGCTTCAGTAGCCAGTAGAGTTCATGAGTAGTGATGATTGCTCTCCCAAGTCAAAGACTAGTGTTGACTCATCCCCAAAATGAGAGGATACCAGAGAGTCCGCTGCTAACAAACAACGACGCCAGTATATGGACGAGTGGTTCGTCAAACGCAAAGGCCTCGCCTATGGGATTATGTGGTCAGGGACGGGTCTCGCAGGTGTAGTGCTTCCTCTTCTGATGGAATGGCTGCTTACCACGCTTGGATTCCGCAACACGTTGCGACTATGGGCAGGCTTGCTCTTCGTGCTAACAGCGCCGCTCGCCTTATTCGTGAAGCCCCGGCTACCGCCATCAGCAACGAGCCACATCAAGCCGTTTAATCTGCGGTTTGTGTTGACGCCTGTATTCCTGCTATACCAGACGGCCAATATTGTTGAGTCGATGGGCTTCTTCCTGCCTGGAATCTATCTACCTACGTACGCACGCAGTATCCTTGGCGCAGCGTCCATTTCGGCGGCTACTACGATCTTACTCGTCAATGTCGCGTCCGTATTTGGATGTATTGCGATGGGATGGTTCATTGACCGCCTTCACGTGACAACGTGCATCCTACTATCGACCATTGGGGCCACAGTTGGTGTCTTTTTGGGTTAGGGATTGTCGTCATCTTTGGGACTGCTATACTTCTTTTGTATCGTTTATGGTCTCTTTGCAGGATCCTTCACATCAGCTTGGCCTGGCATCATGAGGGATATGACGCAGATGGGGCAGAGCAGCAACCAGGGATACGTCGATCCCAGTATGGTATTTGGATTCCTTGCCGCCGGACGAGGCCTTGGTAATGTAGTAGCTGGTCCTTTGAGCGAGAGTCTCATCCGTGGTCTACCGTGGAAAGGAGAGACAGCGGCATATGGCTATGGCAGTGGCTACGGCAGCCTGATCGTGTTCACTGGTGTAACTGCTCTGTTTGGTGGTACGAGCTTCATTTGGAGACGGCTTGGTCTTTTGTAACGTTCCCATGAAAATCAGTTGTAAGTGATCAAGAAGTCCCCCAAGGATTCGATCAAAATTCGGAGACCGTAAACGACATTAGACGGAGGATAGAAGTAAACCCGCCAAATGAGTAGTAACGACAAAATAGATAAGGTCTGAATATCATCGATTCATCGCTGTCCGATGGGGGGATCATTTGTGGAGACAAGAGGCAGCAAACAAGACGGCGCAAATAATTGCGGAGGATAGAAAACAACTGCTTTCTAATGTATGCACATCATTAGTGAGTAAGTAAGGGGTAGGTAGCTGATTACAGCTTATGTTGTGCTACCTAGACTAATCACTTGTTTGCTAGAGTAACAAACATTACAGTACCTAGACCTCACAGCGGTAGTCCACTATAGCACAGTACTTGGGGGCACCGCACCTGTCTATAAACACGCTGTACCGAGGCCGCCCTTTTGTGGGTACAGTACGTGCTTCTAAGCCTCCCACTGATATGCGACGGAGTGAACTGGATTTGCCCCGAGGCGCGATCTTCGGCTGGTAAGCCGCATCTAGGAGGGGCAAGCTGAATGGTGAATTGCTTCGTAGAGACAGCCAATAAGGGAGAAGGGAAATAATACGAAGGAAACAAAAGAAAAAAAAGGGTTCTGTCACCTCCACTCGTAATACTTCAAGCGACTCCCATCATCTGTTCATTATTCATTTCTCACTGCCAGTGAAACACGAGAGAGCTGGTTCTTCCGTCTCTTGTCATCTCACCGTCTCGTTGTTGGGTCGTGTTAGCGGCTGTCCAATACCTTTGTGGACCCTATTTCGTACTACATAGCAATCTATCGTCAACTTCTGACGGCTTCTGCCTCAGCTGCCGACCCTTTCCTACATATACTGGATACACCGACATTCACCCAACAGCAAGCCATGTCGTTCTCCAGCCTCGTCCAAGACATGTCCATCCGTGACGGCAACAATCCTCGCCGCCGGGCGCCAGGCCCTGGTGCCCCCTCTGTCTCAACAATTGACGACCGCACGTCGCACATCTCGCGGGCCATGTCATACGCTAGCACCGCCGCCACGAGCGTCAGCATCTCTGGTGATATCTCGAGCCAGCTTCACGGTGGCTATCACCATCCGCTGGCCCGCTCCTGGCAAGCTGACCGCCAATTGACCAAGGTCCGTACCATTCTATTGCTTGCCATCATGGCTTCTTCCTTCTCTCCGATATTGTTGCTGACACGGTACTGGTGTAATACAGTCTATGCTTATCTACCCTCTCTTCATCTCCGACGTCGACGATGACGAGACCTTAATACCCTCTCTCCCGGGACAGTACCGCCGCGGCATAAACAAACTGGTGCCCTTCCTCGAACCTCTGATGCGCAAGGGGCTCAAGTCCGTGATGCTGTTCGGCGTGCCGCTGCAGCCAGGCAGCAAGGACGCGCTTGGCACGTCGGCTGACGACCCCAAGGGCCCCGTAATCCAGGCCATCCGCCTCCTACGCCAGCGGTTCCCGCAGCTGTTCATCACCGTAGACGTGTGTCTATGCGAATACACATCGCACGGCCACTGCGGCATCCTACGCGACGACGGCACGCTGAACAACCAGCTTTCCGTGGACCGTATCAGCGACGTGGCCGTGGCGTATGCGCAGGCGGGCGCACACTGCGTCGCACCGTCCGACATGAACGATGGCCGCATCCGCGCCATCAAGCTAAAGCTAATCGAGGAAGGGATCGCGCACAAGACGCTTCTAATGTCCTACGCCGCCAAGTTCTCCGGTTGTCTGTACGGACCGTTCCGAGACGCCGCCATGTCGGCGCCTTCGTTCGGCGATCGCAAGTGCTACCAGCTTCCCCCCGGCGGCCGTGGTCTCGCGCGCCGCGCCGTCGCGAGAGATATCGGCGAGGGCGCCGATATCATCATGGTCAAGCCCGCGAGCCAGTATCTCGACATCATCAGCGACGCCAAGGAGCTTGGCCGCGACCTCCCCGTTGCCGCCTACCACGTCAGCGGCGAGTACGCCATGGTGCACGCCGCGGCCAAGGCCGGCGTCTTCGACCTCAAGACTATGGCTTTCGAAGTCACGGAGGGCATCCTACGCGCCGGCGCCTCCATTGTCGTCAGCTATTTCACACCCGATTTTCTCGAATGGCTGGATAACTGATTTGAAACCTTTCCTTTGCTTCGAATTTTCTCATGCATATGAAATAGAAAGATGGGTGATGGGCGGCGTTCTTACGACCGATGTCTTTGCTATACAGGCGTTTAACGGAAGCGAAATGAAGTGACGGGACAGCATGGAATGAGTCGGCATGATTATTGCAT